TATTTAATTTCTCAGAGCCTCAGGGTCCACACGTGACAATTCCTCCTTGGGGGTTGGGGTTGTGGGGGCTCCAGGTGCTGTGGGAGAAGTGGCCGGCACAGGCTGGCAAGTCGTGCCCGTCGTGTGACCGGGGTTGCTGATAGACCTTTCGGTGTGGACCGCGGCACATCACCTCCTCCAGAGCTAGGCAGATGTGTAATAGTTGCTCACAGTCCTTCTCCGACCATTGGAACTGGGCTGGCATCTCCCATTTTCTCCCCAGGAACCACTCCCCACCCTCTCCACCTCTTCCTGCCCCAAGGGCTGACCTGTATGGACACACAAGCAGACCGTTGGTTTCCATTGGATTTGGGACCAGTGGAAGGGAAGAAAGAATTGGGGATATCTATGCCTCCCATTTACATCCCTAGCTACCACCCCGTGAGGTCACCTCAGGCTGCCATTGCCCCTTGATCCCAGGTTTCTGCTCCTCTCAAGATCGCCTCACCACATGAGGCTCCCGGGGGGTACAGTAACTGCACCCGGGGGTAGTAAGGGCCATGCTGTTGCCGTGCTCTGGCACCATCCTTGGGGCTCCCACAGCCCTTCTGGAATGATCCTATCTTAAGTGTGCCATCTCATTCCTGCTGAGATCCCAGTGATGCCTCAGCACACTCTCTTCTCTCTCTCATTTCCTGGGATTTTTCTTGCCGGTCTTGCTTCCCGCGGCCAGAGCCTTCTGCACGCATAGCAGAGTGGCCCGGCCACCTCTCCCTATGCCTCATCTGTCCAGTTATGTTACCGACATGCTCCTAAAGCAGAAACTCTCAAATCTTTGTTGGGTACCTGCCCGGATTGCGCAGGAGGACTCTCCTCTGGGTGCACATCTGGAACGGGTGTGAAAGTACCGAAGTCTGGATTCTGCCTCAGACCCGTTATATCCAGATCTCCGGGTGGGACCTGGGATTTGGGTAAGCAGACAAGGGTTGAGAAGCAACCGAGGAAAAAGGTTGGCAACTGCGTGTTCACGAGGCCGCGATGCACCGAGTTCCTGTTAATTATGTTATGATTGTGCAAGAAGCTTGAATTTGGCTGTGATCACGTTCATGGCTATCTGGTCATTCAGCACGGACATGTATGCACGGATGTGCCTGGGTGTGCGCGTGAGCTGGCTGGCCCGTCCGCTCAGTGTCCCATGAGGTGGCCTTACCCGCTGCTCCTCCCCAGCCTTCGTCATGCTCTTCCCTCCCCGACAAGAGCAGAAGAGGAATACCCTTCCCTTTTGCTCATGGAAACCCTCCTGTCCCGCAAGTCCCCCCAGCTTCAGCCTACCATTGCTCGTAGCACAGAGACGGGGAGAGGGCCCCTTTGGTCATGTACTGTTTCACGCACAGCCTGAGCGGTATGGGAACAGCCCCGCTGTGCGTACATTGTGAGAATGAGGACTAGGTTTTGAACTTTCTTCCTCCTCCTTCTCTTCCTGCCTATTGACTGTCTCATCTATGCCAGGGACCACGCAGGGTGCTCCTTCACGCGTCAGGTCATTAATCTTTGCAGCCTCCCCATGAAATAAACATTATTATCACCATTTACAGATAAAGCGGCCAAGGCTCTAGGTGGGTGGGTGGCTGGGGCGGTGGGGGGGGTTGTTGTTGGTGAATAACTCATCCAAATGGCAGAATTGGGTTTTTAGCCCCGGTCTGTCTGACTCCAGATCCTTTGCTGTATATGAGTGGTTGTCAAACTCCGATCTCAGGCTCCTTCACACTCTTAAAAATGATTGAGGATTCTAAAAAAGCTCTTGTTGGCATGGGTTATAGCTGTCAATATTTATCATATTAGAAATTAAAGCTGAGAAAGACATAAACGTATGTATTTCACATAAAGTAGCAATAATAAACCCATCACATATATAACACCCGTGACTCTGAAAATGAAAATTAATGATGTTTTCCAGAACAAAAAGACAGTGAAAAGTGGCATTATTTAGCATTTTACAACTCTTTATTATCGGCTTTCATAGAAGACAGTTGGATTCTTCTAGCTGCTTCTGCATTTGACCTGTCCCAATACCACAGATCACCTAGCCTCTGGAAAACACCATCCACTTCTGAGACAGTGAGAGTGAAAAAGGCAAATCACTCCTTAGCATTGTCAGGGACATTGTTTTGAACCCACGGACCCCTGGAAAGATCTCAGGGACCCCCGCAGGGGTGCCTGGGCAATACTTTGAGAACCGCTGTTCTAAGTCGGTCAGCTCTGTCTTCTCTTGGCTTTCTCACAGTCTCTGGGTACTACTCGTCTTCAGCACGGTCTGGACGGCTTGGGCTCCCATCTGTTGTTGGGTAACATGAGGGTTGGAACGTGGGCAGCCACTGAGCTTGGTTCTGCCACCGAGTCATGGAGAGAGGCTGCTATGGTCTGGTGAGTAGCCTACGTTCTCCATGCTGTACAGGGGACACGGGAGGTGCCGTGTATTCTTGCCCAGTCTTCGCAAGAATTTGCGAGCTCAGCTTTCTAATGATCCTATGACCCGAGCGAATCACCGACGTTTATTTTCAAGGGAAAATACAGAAAAACACACAAGTTTCTCTCGTAAATTGGGCATCAGAAAGTATCCCCGTTGGCGTGGGGAGGTGGGAGGATGAGTAAGTGGAACACAGGGGATTTTTAGGGCAGTGAAACTGTTCTGTATGATTCTGCGTAATGGTGGACACAAGTCATCACACGTTTGCCAAAACCCATAGAATCTCCGGCCCCAAGAGTGAGCCCTAATGCGAACTAGGACTTTAGTTAATAATAATGTATCAATATCAGTGCATCGATTAGAACAAATGAGCCACATGAATGCAAGATGTTAATAATAGGGGGAAATATAGAGGGAGGGTCAGTGGTTCTGTGGAACTCTGTACTTTCCGACCATTCTTCCGTAAAGCTAAGACACTACACAAGACAAAAACAATACAAAACAGCCCTGCCAGTCTGGATGTTAGCCAGAGGCTCTGTGGTTTTGGGGGCTGGGATGGTCCAATGGAAACCCCTGAGTTGCTGTCCCAGCTGTGCCACCAGACTGGGAAACTCTACCCACTCCCACATCATGACTGCAGACGCGATGTTCTCTTGGGATCTTTCTCCCATTCTCTGTAGCTCCCAAGAGTCTACAGTAGCATCAGCTAGGCTTTGTAGGGTGTAATTCTGGTGGTAAGACTAGTCATTAGAGGATTGTGTAAAAGTCTCCTAGCGTTGTTTAATTACTTGGGAACTATCAGCGCATCATCACGGGGATGATGGGCCCTCTAAACCACAATGAAGCAGGAACACTCTATCTATGGCTGGGGAGCCTCCTGGAGTCGGGGAGAGCGTCTGGGTGGGAGCCCCAGCTCTTCTCTCCGGGCCACTTGGGGTGGGAATCAACAGGGAGGCGTTTGGTGATTGCGGGATGGGTTGGAGGACGTGCCTAGCTGAGGTGTGTGAACTGCTAGTTCATTGCCAAGTCGGGCGGACAGGCCTGGGCTTGCTGTGACACGCCAGCCCGCCCCGCCCCAAGTCTTGTTTTAAACAAGCCCTGTTGGAGAATGGAATCTGTTCTTGCTCTCCTTGGTCCCTGGGCATCTGTGGATCCAGGGCCAGGACTAGGGTGAGGCCAGAGAGGCACCCTAGTCCTGGCCTTGCCCTACCATATGCCTGACCTCGATGGCCATTTTACTCTCCAGAGCTGTCCCCTGACTTCACCGCACCTGAGTTACATGCATTAGGAATCGTTCTCAATGTGATCGCCTCAATTTCTCCCGCCCCCGCCCCCAGGGCCCGTTTTCTTCCCCAGCTCCTTCCAGGCTGGCAGTCTCAAGAAATGCGCTTGACTCTGGAAAGTTCCTTCCACAGTCCAATGAGCACACAGGCTCTAAGAAAAAAAAAAAAAAAAGTGCTTCGGAGACAATAAGTGGTTGTTCTGAGATTGAAAGCGGAGACCCTAGTGACAAGGCACGGGGGAGGCCTTCTCAAAAGCTTTCCTGAGACTTTCTGCTTTCGGGTGGGGGCATAGAGGGGGTACCGTTTGGGAGCACAGGTGCCGCGGCGACCCTCTCAAAGAACCTGTTTATTTGTTTGTTTGTTTGGGGGTTTGCCTTTCGGTTCTCTCTTTGCTCGCACTTAATTAGTGATATTATAACTTTCAATTTAATCATTGACCTAAATGAGTTGTATTTCTGTCTCAGCAGGAGGCTGGCCGGGCTGAAAGAAGCAGCCGTGGCCCCCAAGTGAGCAGGGAAACTGTTACTGAGAACATTTGGGCTGGCAAATGACACTGCTTCTGCTCCGAGATAAAATGGAGACATTTTCAAGCTTTGTTTTGAAATCATAAAAAATAAAAAAAAAAAAAAACAGAAGTGTCCTGCTGGAGATAAGATAGATGCTGGTGTGGAGCATCTGGGAGCAGTGAAAGAGGAAGGTTAGACCAGCATTACTGAGATTATTACTGAAACCAAGATTATAAGTAATTAAGGTTTTGAAAGTTTGGTCCAGGTGCACAATAGACTACTCAGTATCTTGGATTCCTGAGCTGGGGTCAGGTTAACTATTAAAAGAGGACCAAACATATTTCCAACAAAACCCGCAGTTTACTTAAAGCCCACGCTATTCCTGCTGCTGCTTTAGAACGCCTTGCTTTGAGCCTTCTTCTCTTCTGGGCTCTCGGGAGATCTAATGTTGACTCCCTTGTGGGCCTAGATTAACGATGTCTTGCTTCGGTGTGGTGTTAAATCGGCCTGCGCACGTTCCACCCGGGATGGATGTCCCTCACCGCAACGTTCGCTGCGATCAAACGGACGCACGGCCCCAGGATAAATGGGGACCCGCTATCACTGCATTTCTTCTCCACCCTGAACTGCCTCTGCAAAGACTAAGTGCTGGGCCTGCACGCAGATGCTTGCTGGCTGGCTTCCTCAGGAAGAACAGATTGCAGAAGCACGCAAGCCGTAACTGCCATGTACCTAGAATCTTCTTTATCGGGCATCCTTTTGCAGGAACTTTGATCTGGAGGATGCGGTCACATTTTGCTTGGAGGTACGAATTGTCTAGAAAAACCCAAAAAAGAAGAACACGCCTTTAAATAACTCTTCAAACTGAATTTAAAAAGTAAGTTAACTACTTTGAATGATCCCCTAATCCTCCCTTCTCTATCTCCTGTTCTCATCTTGTCTTTGAATGAGAAGGCTCCAGAGCTGTAAAAGGGGTCTTAGCATCATCCGTGCTGGGCACTCTGTATCTCAGATGAGATACTTCCTTCACAAAGGAAAACTTTGCGTTTGGTTTAAATTGGCATGGAATGCCTTTTCCCGGGATCAGAGGGTTTAAATATGTTTTTAATTTTCTAAATGTCTGTTGACAAGTGGATAAAGAAAATGTGACACACACACACACACACACACACACACACACAGAGGAATATTATTCAGCCTTATAAAAGGAAATCTTAAGGCACCTGGGTGGCTCAGTCAGTTAAGTGTCCGACTTCAGCTCAGGTCATGATCTCACAGTTCGTGGGTTCAAGCCCCGCATTGGGCTCTGCGCTGACAGCTCAGAGCCTGGAGCCTGCTTCAGATTCTGTGTCTCCTTCTCTCTCTGCCCCTCCCCTACTCACACACTCTCTCTCTGTCTCTCTCTCCCTCACAAAAATAAAAATATTAAAAAAAAAAACCACTACCTGTTAAAAAAATAAAGGGAAATCTTGCCATTTGTGACAACATGGATGAATCTGGAGGCCATTATGCTAAGTGACATCAGCCAAATACAGAACAACAATTGTTACGTGACTTCACTCATACGTGGAATCCAAGGTAGTCAAACTCACAGAAAACACAGAGCTAAATGGTGGTTGCCATGGGCTGTGCAGTGGGGATAATGGGGAGACGTCGTTCAAAGCACACAAACTTTTAGTTGCGTGAGACACATAAGTTGCAGGGATCTAATGCAGATCACAGTGACCATAGTCAATAATATGTTTTTAAAAATTTGCATTTTTGAAGAGGGGAGATCCTAAGTGTTCTCACCACACACGTGCCCACACACAAAGGTAACCATGTAAGGTGACGAATATTTTAATTAGCTTGATTGTGGTGACCATTTCACAATGTGTATATATATATATATATCAAACATCAAGTTGTACATCTTATATATATAAATAAATGTATATAATTTTTATTTGTCAATTATATCTCAAGCTAAGTTTTTTTTTTTTTTTTTTACACAGAAGTTTTTAACAATCATTTAATCAAATGTGTGCAGGGGCACCTGGGTGGCTCAGTTGGGAAGCATCCGACTTCGGCTCAGGTCATGATCTCATGGTGTGTGAGTTCAAGCCCCATGTCAGGCTTTGTGCTGACAGCTCAGAGCCTGGAGCCGGCTTCAGATTCCATCTCCTTCTCTCTCTGCCCCTCCCCTGCTCCTGCTCTGTCTCTCAAAAATAAACATTTTTAAAAAATTTTAAAAAAAGAGTTAAATGTTTAACTGACTTCTGGGGCACCTAGGTGGCTCAGTGGGTTGGCTGTCTGACTTCAGCTCAGGTCACGGTCTCACAGCTCGTGAGTTCGAGCCCCGCATCGGCTCTGTGCTGACAGCTCAGAGCCTGGAGCCTGCTTTGGATTCTGTGTCTCCCTCTCTTCTCTGCCCCTCTCCCACTCATGCTCTGTCTCTTTCTCTCAAAAATAGATAAATATTTAAAAAAATGTGTGCCATGGTCGTCAGCAATCCTTGTGTGGCAGGGGCCATAAATTTCCTCGAAAAATGGACCCTCTTAAAAGGGGGGGGGCAACCCCAAGAACTGAAGGGGAGATCCCTGGGGCCAAGCAGCTGCAGGGTCTCAGGAACAGGCCAACTTTATCCCCTACCCACCAAAATGCTCCCTCCCTTTCTTCGTCTCGGGAAAAATGCACTAAGAGTAACGTACAGTGATGCGATGATCAAATGGAGATCTCAACCAGAAATACGGTTTTCCTTCAACTTTAGGGGCGACTGGAAGAAAGTCTCTGAGGCTTACTTCATAGCCCCACTCTTCTTGTTTTTAATTTTTTTAATGTTTGTTTATTTCAGGGAGACAGACAGAGGGCAAGCAGGGGAGGGGCAGAGAGAGAGGGAGACACAGAATCCGAAGCAGCCTCTGCTTTTTTATTTTGGTAAGACAGAACACAAATTTTACCATTTTAACCATTTTTAAGTGTGAAATTCAGGGGCATGAAGTACATTCACAATGCTGCGTAACCATCACCACCATTCGTGACTCTAAACAGAAACTCTGCCCATTAAGCAGTAACTCTCCCTGTCCCCGCTAACCTCTAGTCTCTTTCTGTCTCTATGAATCTGCCTATTCTGGGCACTTCATAGGAGCAGAATCATAGGATATTGGAACTTTTGTGTCTGACTTATTTCCCTTAGCATAAGTTTTCAAGGTTCATCCATGTTGTAACATATATCAGAATTTTATTCATTTTTATGGAGGAATTATATATATATTATATATATGATATAAAATATAAAACAATATAATAATA